TTCTTAAGATGGCACTGTGACAATCCTATTAAATATAAATATAAATATATCATATTATTTCTCTCTTCAGATTTCACAAATAGCTCTCCACACACATACAGAAAAAACAAAGGCCTTAAAAAGGACCTGAAAAATCATGTTTTTCCCAAGTCTCACAACCCTTCAAATTTTCTCTGACCTTATCTTCAATTCTCCTCCTTTCATTCCCTCCTCAAACATATCAGACATACCTCACCTTCAGGGATGTTTGACTTCTTTCTCCCTATGTGTGCAATGCTTTTTACCCGATATGCTTATGCTTAATCTTTCCCTTTCTTCAGATCTTTATCCAAGCATTTGCTTCTCAGAAAGAAGGCCTTCTCTAACTTATTTTCCATCTTTTGCACTTTGTGCTATGTCATATCCCATGCATATTTGTTCTGTCTCCCCTCATAGAATATGAGCTGCCTCAGGTTGCTTCAATTGTTGTCTTCACTCACTACTGTGTACCTAGCATCTCAAACATGCCTGGCACATAGCGAGGAGTTTTAAAGAATAAATTATTGGATGGGTAATGTGCTGTCTTGTTAACATCTTTGTTCATTTGTTTTAATGAAAAAAATCCTTTAATTAGTATGTCAAGATTTTGTGTGCAAATATGGCTTCTAAAATAAATCATAAATATATTAAATATGGATCCAACTCATTCTGTGAACTGTCTCCAAAATATTTTCAAGTAATTTGCAAACTGCAAATTTTATTTCAGCTGCTGTACAAATCAACACTCATTCTTAACTAGTGACATAATTGGGAGCTTTTAATTAAGTAACATTAACCAATGAGACTCATTCTTTTAAGCAGAGAGATATCTTGGGAAGCTTGCTGAACTTCTTTCTCAAACAGCACAATATGAAAGGAATGGTACTAAACTACATGGCTACTTGAGTGAGATTCAGGCCCTTACATTTTGACAAAAGTATTATAATATTCTCCTAAGTGGTCTCTCCAGGTCACTATTTCTTCCTTCCATTTTAATTCTTTCAGGGTCAATATTACTAACGTAGACCTCTGGTTACACTTAGAAATCTTCATGTCTCTCTTTTTACTATTAAAATAAAATCCTATCTTGTAAAACAGGAATGTTGAGGTCTTTATAGTCTAGTTAGAGTTTATTTTTCCTATATTATTTTCTAATATTTTTCCACCATATTTTCCGATCAGATTTTTGTGCTTACTGCAGTCTCTCATATTTTCCTTTCTTTTTTTTTTATTGTACTCCAGAATCTGGAAGATTTGTTTATAGAGTACATATCCAGGCTGAAGAATATTAGTACAGAGAATGGTGGTTTATTATTTCTTAGGATACAGACTCTAAGTTTCTATTAAAGGAATTTAAGATTACTTTTCCTTTTTTTTATATGCACATTTTTCTTAGGCTGCCAACAAGCTTTTATTCAACTAAATAATTCAGGTCTTCTTTATATGACCTTCTGCCAAACTGAGTTTCACACATTCTTCGTATGGCTTGTGAACTAAATGCAACCCTATTCATTTGGCCCTCTTTAAATCACTGCTTTTCTTTATGAAGACTAAATATCTCTCAACTGTACCATCTCTTCTCCTGCTACTATCTTAGAAGTTAAGTAGTGAAAGAGGAAGAACAAATGCAAGAAAAAGGATGAAGAAGAATTTTTCCTTTTAAACTATTGTCTATAAGACTGGCAAAAAATCATTTAAAAATCAAACCTAACGTTCATGTTCCTCCCTAAACAAAATCTATTCAATGGCCCTCTCCATTGCCTTCATTTTGACCTCCACTCTGATGTAATTCACTTTCCACCCTTATTTCTCACAATGTATCCTCACCTAGCCTGTTCCCTCTGTAGGCTTTGTGCACATTTTTCCCTGGGTTGACACCATCATTTCCCAGCTTCTCCTAGATAAGTGAGATTCCTTCTTCAGGACTCATTTCTGCCGCCTCCCCCTTCATGAAGCAACCCTCTGTGGCACCTTGGAGTACAATGTGTAGGTGGTTGAGTCTTCTGGTGGCCCTGGGTTTGTCTCCAGCTAGTTTAAATTGCTTCACTTTTTTTCTTCCTGTAAGTAGACTCTAAGCCCCTCACATCCAGTGAGTGTGTCTCTCACCTCTGCAGCCACAAGGGCTAAGAATAGTGTTGGGTACGTGTATCCATTTGTCTTCCCAATAAAATTATTTCTGATTGTTTTCTTATTTATTCAAGAATGTAGGGCAAGATGGAAAGGAACACGGTAGAATTCAATTTAAACAAAAATAGGATCTCAATGTTTTAATCTATTAACAAATAGTATAAGATTTTATTCTTTGCTATGCATTGTTGTAACATTGCAAAGAATACATGAGAAGATGACTATAAATAAAAGCTATCTATGAGATTATTTTAATTTATTCTCACTGTAAGACTAAAATAAAATAGGCACAAATAATCTATCCTAAAGGGGATTATCTAGGGCCCAATGTCTCAGTGCCACTGAAACAAGCAAAGGGCTTTCTAGGCTGAAAAACTTATAGACATTCAGATCCTGATGGATTTGCTTTATTTGACAAATTCCTGCCTCAAAGACAATTGAACATTGTCCTTCTGTCATGGCCATCTTAAATGTTAACACTGATCATGACAAATAGGCTTTACTGAAATGAAGGAGCAGTATAAACAGTGAAAGATTTCTGAAGACTTCTAATTGCTTTTTCTGAAAAAGGTTTTAGTATACATTTAGTCAGAGTAATCTCTCAAGGGTCCATCCAGTTAAAGATCTATAATCATTAAGCCCCAAATATTCTTAAAATAATGAAAATCTCCTCTTTCTACACCTTTCACTTCACTTTCCTGATCACTAAATTGACTAAATGAAATTAACCTATCTACTACTGCCCTCTTCATTCCCTGGGTTATGTCAGCAACTGTGTATGTATGTTTTAAAAAATCTAAATGGAGATTTCTTATCAGTCCCTAGGTAATTATCAATTGATTAATCTGTGTTTTTTAATGATTTGGCTCTTGGCTTCTCTGAAGAAGCAGAAAACTGTTTTAAAGTCTAAGATAGCTGAGACTTCATTACTTGTTGCAAAATAAAATTTATTTTAAGTGGTAGAGTCTCACCAGGGAGCACTAACATGAATAATTGGCCTTACAAGCAATCTACCAAAATGAAGTTTCATTGCATTCAGTGATAGGAGTATCTTCAAATGTGATTTACATTTATCTCTAATGAAAATTAGTACATACTTCACACTTCCTGATTTTTCTATGTCCCTTCTGTGGCAACATAATTTCTTATTACTTCTATTTGCATTTGTAAGTTATAGAGTAATGTTTGTGACAGGATTAATGTGTTTTGCTAGACTTGTATCATCTGGCTCTTTAAAATACCTACTATGGTACATTCCACATTTCAATTTAATTTCTTTTAATTTGAAATATGGCTTGACTTGCTATTATTTTATCATAAACTGCTATTTTTTATCTCCAGCTAGAAAAATTTTAATAAAAGATTTGAAAATGTGACCTGGGGATGGCCTTGATTGAAAAAAACTTGAATGATATTAATAATAGCTACCATATCTAGAATAGGTGTTCCACATCAGAAAGTGTGGTATATGCTTTATAAGCATGATTTCCCTTGTAATGGAGGAAGGATTATTTCCCTCATTTTGCTGAGGACAAAACTGAAGCTCAGAGTTAAGATTATAATGTTAAGTGAAATAAATCAGACACAAAAGCTTAAATAACAGTTTCTCTTACATAATAACACCCAAATATAAATAAATTTAAAAGAAAAATAAAAGATAGACAATAGGAGACAGGGAGATAGATCTTTTACAAAAGGGAATAGAACCAAGAAGTGAAGACAGGGAAGAGGATAGATGGGGGGAAAAGATGAAAAATAATTAAGATGAGTTATGTACCTACACCAGCTCCTCACAATGAATGTAATCATTGTGTACTGAAAACATATACTAACAAAAATAAAAAATTGAAAAAAATAGAGTTAAATAAATCCACGATAAATGCTAGCAGGTGGCTGGGCCAATATTCAAATGCTAGTGTGTCTGATGTCAAAGCCAGGGCTGTTATACTGACATAAGTCCATAATTAGGAATCCAGAGATGCCACAAACACATGTTATTTCCTATGTTCTCATCTTCCCAGGCTCATAAAAGGCAGAGTCTATGGCCAATAATTTTCTTGTGCAGTCTACATCAGAACATATACTAAAAATGTCCTAGTTTACAGGGTTAGGAATCAGTATGTCATTTAATTGGTAATTTTCCTTTCTTTGACTTCTGGCAGAAGCTCTCTCTGGAGCCAAGACCAAATGTTTTTCTCTGATGACAAAGAAGGAAAGCCTGAGACTGTCCTGAGAACTGCAAATTTATTTATCACCTTTTTGTTGTTGTTAGTTATTCCCTGGATGATATCCAACATGCAGCTCTAATTGACCCCATGAGGACAGATAAGTTAATGGTTTCCACTCTACAAGGAGAAACACTAGTAACAAGATTTGGCTGCTTCTAATGCTATGGATTCAATTTTAAAACAATTATAAAAGTATATCTATATTTATTAAAACTCACTCCCACACCAAAAAACTTACTGTGCAGATTTAGTCACAGTGAAATACAGCAGAAATGGAATATGATAAAATTCACACACCCTTCATAACTTGGAATGTTGTGAAAAGGAGTAACACTTTATAACAGAAAGCAGTTAACACATCTCTTAAGAAATTAAAAGTTTCAGCATAAGATTAATTCAAGCACTTGTCCAGACTGTTAAAATCCAAGGCTGAGATCTCATTAGTTCAGTGAAATAGGACTATTCTCCTAGAGTCTAGGTTATTCATTCTTGAAGAAAATATAGGTAATGTCTATCTTATGAAAGAGATTTTCTTTTTACTAAGACAGACAAGCAAAGATGAGCACTGCTTCCTGCCTTTGGCCTCATTTGTCTTCCTTACCTTTTGCCTTTGCTCCTCTTTGCCAGGTTTCTAGCCAACACCACTTTCAGAGGCCTCAGTGGCTCCATCAAAGTCAAAGATTCCACCATCATCAGCTCAGAAAACAACTTTTTCATCTGGAATCTGCAACATGACCCTATGGGAAAGCCAATGTGGACACGCTTGGGCAGCTGGCAGGGTGGCAAGATTGTCATGGACTATGGAACATGGCCAGAGCAGGCCCAGAGGCACAAAACTCACTTTCAGCACTCAAGTAAGCTACACTTAAGAGTTGTAACCCTGATTGAACACCCATTTGTCTTCACAAGGGAGGTAGATGATGAAGGCTTATGTCCTGCAGGGCAACTTTGTCTAGATCCTATGACTAATGACTCTTCCATATTGGACAGCCTATTCAATAGTCTCCATAGCAGTAATGATACAGTACCAATAAAATTCAAGAAGTGCTGCTATGGATATTGCATTGATTTGCTGGAAAAGCTAGCAGAAGACATGAATTTTGACTTTGACCTTTATATTGTTGGGGATGGAAAGTATGGAGCCTGGAAAAATGGCCACTGGACTGGGCTGGTGGGTGATCTACTGAATGGGACTGCCCACATGGCAGTCACTTCCTTCAGCATTAACACTGCACGCAGCCAAGTGATAGATTTCACCAGCCCTTTCTTCTCCACCAGCTTGGGCATCTTAGTGAGGACTCGAGACACAGCAGCTCCCATTGGAGCCTTCATGTGGCCACTCCACTGGACAATGTGGCTGGGGATTTTTGTCACTCTGCACATCACTGCCATCTTTCTCACTCTGTATGAGTGGAAGAGTCCCTTTGGTATGACTCCCAAGGGGCGAAACAGAAGCAAAGTGTTCTCCTTCTCTTCAGCCTTGAATGTCTGTTATGCCCTCTTGTTTGGTAGAACAGCAGCCATCAAACCCCCAAAATGTTGGACTGGAAGATTTTTAATGAACCTTTGGGCCATTTTCTGTATGTTTTGTCTTTCTACATATACAGCAAACTTGGCTGCTGTCATGGTAGGTGAGAAGATCTATGAAGAGCTTTCTGGAATACATGACCCTAAGGTAATATTTCCTTTTACTCTGGATTTCTTTACTGCCCATTGTAATCCATATGTTGTGTCATATGCTATAGTGTGCCTATCTTCCTCATCTAATGCAAGAATATTCTCTCAGCCAACTGTAGAGACTAGTGTCCAAGAGTCCACAGCCTGGTTCACCCAAATGTTTTATTGTTTTATTAAATAAGACACAAAGGAGTGAGGAACTTTAGGGAGTTTTTGTTTTAGAGAAAGTACTATATATCTAGTAGAAAAAAGTCTACTAGTGCAGTTTTTCCTCATTTTACTTAACATCTGACAGAATAGTTATCAGGGAACAGCCTTCCAAAGTAAGATTTTTATCCAAAGCAGACCTCAAAAACTGATTAATTACTGGAAAAAAGAGGGTCCATATTCCAAACAGTAAACTATATTCTTTGCCATTAAAAATAATAAAAAAGAAAGAATTTATTATCCTAAGCACACCAAAGTCAACTGCAAGGAATCTCAGCATCTATTAAATAAGGAATGCTGAACTAGCATAGTAGGATTAGCTAATGACAGTTTATTCTAATAGAGTAAGGAAAGCTATACATCTCTGAATTTGGGTTGAGGGGAGTGTTCAAGCAATCACATTAGAATGTGCAGAGATATTTGAGGAAATTATAACTATCTAGGCTGCCTTTGGTATCTTAGACATCTCTTTCCTGGGATAGAAGGAAAGGACAGTACAGGTAAACAGGTAAAGCATGGTGGCACTCAAGTAAAGACAGCAATATCTATCTTCTCCATGGATTAAGACAGGGTCTCTTTCAGTGACTGGGTACATGGGGAATCTAGCCTACCTAATGGGAATAGTGAGAAGGAGGTTGTCAAAGCCCAAGGCCATTGGAATAGGGCTAAGGGGAGTACTGCATCCCTGATGGGATAGGACAAAGGTAACTCCTGAGCAGAACTGCATTCCATTGTGTAGAACACACCTAGCAGAGACTGAAGAAAGTTCCAATTCAGTGAGCACACTCAGTACACACCATATTCAAAGCTGAACTGAGTCTTTTAAATGATAAAGCACGATCATGTTCAGATGCTTCTTGCCACACCAAGTCTCAAGACACTGAATCATTCACTTTAAACTTATATTAAACATTTAAAATTAACTTCATATAGCATTTTTTTAAAAAGCACATCTATAATTGTCTTCAACAACTGATGGAGTAGCCCAGAAGCCTGGTGGCAACTTCAGAAAAATTCTTAAGGACAGTTTACATTAGGATGTGAGATCTGTTTTGCAACCAAAAGAACATGAGAAATTTAATCCATATGCTACTGCAAAATTTAAGTGGTAAGTGACACAAATCTCATGAAAGGATTTGGCTAACAATGCCTCATTAACTAGGCAAGGAATAAAAGATAAAAGGAGCAGAAAGACACTGTTAAGGTCCCTTATTGCTTTTGCTACCTTGAGGGTGCTGTGAACTGTTTCTCCTTCTCTTGATGCTTTTGCTGCTTCTGCCACCATGAACTATTGCCCCTCTGCCACCCTGCCTTGGAGCTGATTATGGACTGAAACTTCTATAAACTGTAAGCCAAATAAACCTTTCCCCTTTTAACTTTGGGTATTGGGTATTTTGTCTCAGCAATGAGAGAAAAGTAACTAACACACACCACAAAGAAGATTTTGATGATATATCTGCAGTCACACTCTGCTGCAGCATTAGCATTCTCTATTCATCCTTCTCCCCAGTAGTCCTATAGATCTCTTAAAGATTCAGTCTTGGTAGACTTATGGAGATTTTTTGCAAAAATCATGCCAAGGTGACTTTTAAATTACAAACTCAAAATGGAAACTATTCAGTTCAATCTAGTACAAAAACAATCTAATATTTGCATGTTATGCAGATTCTAGAACATTATCTTACATAAAAAGCTGAACATAATCCTAACTAGTTTCATTCATCAGAAGCAAAGATTGCCATAATTAGCTCATTGATACTATGCATGAAAAAGTTGAAGCAGTGGCTATTCTAGAGGATAAAAAGAAAATCAGACAAACCATACAGTACTTCAGGCAGATACACAATACAGTGCAGTAAAACAATTTTAAGCAAAACAGGAATAATCATTCTATCACCAACTCTACCAAAATTAAAAAGTGAAATTTTTAGGAAACTAACCCAGCCCAAAGGAAAAAAGGTTACAAAACTGGACTTACGTAATAAGTCCAAAACTTAGCTTTATGTAATAGCTGGTCAGTTCTTAAATGAGAGAAACCTAAATCTAAACCATTTTCAACTTGAGATAATAAATGCATTTCCAATGAAGATTCAGAAAAAATGTACATATCTATTACTATGTTTAAAACGTACATTTACAATCTCTCATGTATAGGGATTTTTATATATAAAAATACCCAGGTTACTTGGATACACCAAGTATTTGTTGTCTATTTCTGACACCTGAAATTTTAGGAAAAAAATGTTAGTAACAGAATTTTTCAGTTTTCATCCAGACTGCATGGCATTATGTACTTTACCTAATATCCTCATCTTCCCACAGAAAGGTAAGATAATAATAATTTCTGTGGGCTGTTGATTTAGCTCAGTGGCACTGCGCCTGCTTTGCAACTGCAAGGTCCTGAGTTCAATTCCCAGTACCAGGAAAAAAAAAAAAAGAGGAAGAAGAATTTCCATACCCATTGGTCACTCCACATTTATTCCTAAGTATATTAAAGTTACTCTCATGACGGTTTTTCTGTCCTACCAATGATATTTATTTTGAGGCAAGCTCTATTTTTTTCTTACACTACATAAAATAGAGAAGTTCAGATTAAATAAGTCAGTGATTTGGCTTTAGTCAAGTAGGGGAGAAGAATATACATAAAAGATGAAACAACTTAGAAAGTTATAAACATGCCCAGGTTTACAAATGGATCCAATGTTGCCAAGTTCAAGAAAGGGTGATCACCTAACTCAGGAAATGAGGGAAATGAACAAATTAACATGGTAAAATTTGTTCTTATTCTTGAAAAATATTCAGAATTTCAGATATGTGCATCAGGGAGGAGGAAAGGACATTCCAAGTAAAGGAAGTGGAAAGGAAGAAGCACATCAAAAAAATTGTAAAGAATTCAAGTTAGACACAGAATGTTACAGCAGAGGATGGAGCAATGTCTCATACAACTCTGTACCAAGGATCTGCACCAGGAAGGCCCATGGGCCAGTAGTGGGAGCTAGAAAGTCTGTGCTGACAGGTTGAAGGATCTGTGCCAGAAGACTGAGAGATCTGCACTGGAGCCAAGGAGCAATGATGCTCAGAAAAAAGGTAGAGAGCTGGGATTTAGCTCAGTGTTTCCAGCACCTGCCTCGAAAGCGCAAGGTCCAGAGTTTGATCCCCCAGTACGGAAAAAAAAAAAGACAAAGACCAGAGCTCTCCCAAAGAGAAGGGCAGCCATCCCTAGCTAAAGTGAGGACCCAAGCTCCTAGGATGATGAGGACAGCCAAGTTTGTATCAGGAAAACCAGCTGCAACAAAGCTTCTCTTGGGAAATCAGCAGCATCAATCGTCCCCTCCCAGTTCTCCTTTTATGCTGTTCAGCAACAATCCTCAGGTGGGTCTTCCACGCCCAGTGCCATGCTGATTCAGTTCAGCTGGGTGTTCCCACTTAAATTCACAATCAGTTCATCCACCAGTCAGGTGAAATGCAGCAGGTATTTGGAAACTTGGAGTTCAAGAATGAGAATGAAGCTAGTGGGAGTTCTGAGTGAGAGTAATACTGTGTGTTAAAGCCCTGCATACAGGAGTGTGAGATTCCCAAAGGAGAAGGCTACAGGGAGAAACAAAAATGCTGTTTGAAGAAAGGAACCATGATTAAGGACCCCCAAAGTGTGGCAAAATAAGATTTGTGGAGGAATGAGATGGAAGAGAAAGGAAAATGTGCCTGGTAACAAAGCCATGACTTTGAATGTCACTCCATAGATTGAATTTTGAGTTTTGAAGGAAAAGTTTGGTATCATCCTACCTGCCATGCTGAGACTCTTGCCAATGGTTATCCAAGAAGGCAGAGGTAGATCAGTGCTCTGTACAAACCAAGAAAATTAAGACATCTGTGTGTTCATGTGTATGTGCATGTGTGTGCATATGTGCGCGAGTGTGTGTGCATATGTATGTGCATGTGTTTGTTTTAATGTCCAATGAAACTGGGGTTATATGATTTGATTTTTTCCAGTATTTTATAAAATTCATTTCACTCTTCAAATTCATTTTGTAGCATTTTGGTTCTAGTAAAGCAGAATTGCTCATGTACCTAGAAGTCACAAATCTCATGTATTTCTTTGAGCCATTTGTTTTTCTGCTGTAAGTTGAAAATCTCCCAAATCAAAATGAGAGATGACTTTTTATATGGAGTATCTGCCACGCTCTGAAGATTCCTCCACCCCTTCCTCACTGCCTTATTTCTCTTCATATCCTTTATCCCTTTCCATCTATTAAATATTAGGACACCACATTGTTTTTGCCCTCTCTTTCAGTTTTCACTACTCACTACTCAGCTAACCCATGCCAAGAACACTTTCCTGGGCTTTCACATTAATACTTTTCAACACCTAAATCTCCCTTCTCTTGAAATTCTTCTGTAATTATCTTGGGATAAGCTCTTCGAGTCTTTTTTATAGTTGTGTACCCCAAAACTTTGAGAATAACAACTTGCAGATCTCCCTAGAAGAATTTTAGATGTTCAGTTTGATCAATGAACACTAAATTATAGTTTGGAATAAGAAGCTCTGTTATGCCATGGCCAGGTGGGTGACTACAGATAACATTCATAAACTGTATATTTCAAAAAGCTGGAAGAAAGGATTTTAAACATTGCCACTATAAAGAAATGCTAAATCTTTAAAGAAATAGATATTTACCCTGATTGGTTTGCACAATGTATATATGTATTGAAACATCACATGATACCCCACTTATATGTAAATTATTTATATTTTTATGTATTCATTAAAATAAATTTAAGTCATAATTTTGA